CGGCCAAACCATAAATTAGCACACGGCGCTCTTAACTATTTGGTGATTCCTGGTCAAGGCTACAGCAGCGACTGATGTGTGTGAACCAGTCCTGGCCCACTCCCCTTTACCAACTCAAACTGGCCGCCAGCATGGTTGATGTATGGTCAAACAACCACCGTCACCAACAATGCAGTTGCTGTGATGTTCTCATTTATCGAGTGCCCCTTCAAATGTATAGATATAACGAGAAAACATGAATACAGTATAACCGAACCAACAAACGGCAAAGACGTGTTAACACGTATGCCTGGGCCAAATGAATCTCATGGCGGTACCCAGCGGTTCCAGAGTACCCCGGCTCTCGCATAATGTCCGTGATGCGGTCATTTTTAGTCTGTTGATGGTCGGCGACGCGGCAATCGACTCATCTCGACGAGCTGTACTCCATGTACCACTACGGTGCGTACTGCGAGCGTTCAAGGTTTCGGCGCAATCGTCCTCGCTGCGTTTCGACATCGCGGAGTGGCACCACCGATTTCGGATTGATTGCTACCCCAGTCGCGGAGTTATGTACACCCCTGGAAAAAAATTGTGTCCCAGAAATAACATATTTAATTGCCTCGGCCATTTGGTATTATTTGGTACCCCCGGGGTACCGCCATGAGGATAAAATTATGAATCGGTAGCTCTTGCACATTAATCCTTCAGGTTTCGCAAGCAAGAAAACGAGATGTTTATATAAATAAACAATATCCATGCGCGCTGCAAATGCCACAACTGGTGGCCTCGCCGAGTGTGGAGCGGGCGCCCTCCGCAGGCCGCCGCGGGCGACGCGCGGAGTGGCCAGGCCGAGCCATGGGGCGGTGGGGGGGCCTCGTTCGCGCGATGGTGCGGAATGACAGGCGCACATGCGCGCACACGTGGTGGGAGACTTTCCTTCCTCCTCCTCCTCCCACCAGACCCCTTGCCCTTCTCCACCCCCCAAACTCACAAAGACAAAGACCCCCCCCCCCACACACATAGCCTTAACAGACTGTTGGGGCAAGTGCACCGATGAAGGCCGGCACGGCACACGATGGGGCGGTTGGCCAGCACCACGCCTGGCTGCCATGGTCTCCCTAGAGGCGATGTTTACACACCACACCACCTACTTGTTTGAGGCCTACTCGACCTAGTGGTTCAGATAATGGTCACTGGTGTAGGCCGTGAGCGGGATTTGAACTCGGGTGGCTGGGTTCATAGCACAGCACGCCAACTGTTGTACTACCGCTCCCCAACTCGTGCATATACACACGCACATGAAGACAAAGACTATAACCCATATAATCATAACCATACAGGCTTTTGTACCAATTAATTTTAGTGAGCACTTATGAAGGCTGGGACGGTGCATGGCAGGGTAATGTGGCCAGTGTCACACCTGGCTGCCTTTGTCTCTCCGGTGCTCATGTTTACATATTGCACCAGGTACTCATTTAAGGCCGAGTCGACATAGAGGAGGCTCAACATTGGTTTAGATATGCATCACTGATGTTGGCCATGAGCGGGATTTGAGCTCGGGTCGTCGAGTGCAGTGTGTTAACCACGATGCAACAACCCACTTAAAATAGACACATACGTACTGGCACTGTGCACTTTTTTACAACTCATCCCTGCTCGCTTCCCCCCCCACCTTGCCACCTCTTATTTATTTTTCCTTCCTCCTGTCTCCCTCGGCCTTTTGTCGAGCAGATGTTCACCACCAGGGAAACGTTTGCCGAGGGTTTGGGAGTACTAATGAAGCCGTTGTATCTCTCGACGTTGGATCCTTCAGTGACTTTAGTCAGCGGAGCGGCGTTTACTTTACAGCGACCAATTCATTTTAATTAGTTTTTTTTTATATTTCTCAATCACATCCTCTTGCGCAAACATGGCCTGCTGTCCACCAGCTCTCTAACGGAACTGATGAAATGGCTTAAACTAACTGCAGAGGTTCTTTCCACCAATGGCAGTGGCACGCCATTCCAGCCCACGGTGTGAAATCAACACTGTCGAGTTCTTTCCGCGTCGCAAGCACTTGCGGCTTTGCTTTGTAACCAAGGCATTCCACGGACGATCGTCGATCGCAGTTGACTTTGCGCGGTGCCAGGGCTCGCCTCTCCCGTCGAAATTGGCGACCGCTCGTGACCCAGCGGGGCCCCATTGTGCGTAGCCAGCGGGGTGGAACGAATGAAGCCCGCCGCGCTACTGGCAACAAATTGGGCGTTTTTGCAATAATTTTTTCACTTTTGCAAATGGCTAACGGCAGCGGTGGCAGTGTTCACTGCCAGAGCACGCAGGCGGGCGGGCAGACAAGCGGGCGGTCGAGGGCGAGCACAGATGCTCTGGCCTCCGCAGGCTGAAAAGCGGATTAAGTGCTTTTTGGGTTTGCATCATGCCCTAAGCCATTGTTTACCCCATTTTCCAAAAGAGAGAAGATTACGTATTTAAGATTGCGTCTGTCACCCCAAAATTATAAACCGTTGGCGGTGCCAGCGACGACGGAGCTTTTCCCAAAAGTGGACCCCTCGATTTTCAGCTTTGCTTGAGCACAAAGTGCAAAGCTGAGCAGCCACTCCTATACGTGTGATTAAAAACTCAGTGTCACAACGGGAGAGGGGCAGGGGATACACAGTGTGCGTAATTGCACCACCGTTTGTGTTCTCGTATCCTGCATGAAATTCCATACCCAGGGATTCTCAAATGTGATTATCTCTTCGATGACGTGAGCTGTAAATGTCCTTTTTAATTTAGTGTCAATTTCGAGTAGAACTAAGAATGCATGAGTGTATTGGGTTTTTCAAATGTTTTGATTCAAAGCCGAGTCCCCCAATTGTTGACCCTGAACTGCTCAAGCTGTGCCGTTTATTTCATTATTTAGTTCTTAGTATTTGCTAACAAAAAAAGTAGGAATCTCTGCGGAATCCTTGAAATCCCTCAGGTGCCTTCATTTGGCTCTCTAAGCTTTCGGCATTTCCCATAATCCTAAGGGTGCCTGGGTTTGACCTCCTGAGCCTCGGACATTTTCATTAATCCATCGGGTACCTTAGTTTGACTCTGTTGAGCTTTGACTATTTTCCACTCACTCATAAATCCAGCGATTTGCCTTTGGTTTGGTTCCACAAGCCACCATTGACTTCCGCCAAATGTTTAGCAATCGGAAGATGGTCCACAGTCTGCGTTCTAAAACAATGCAGTCCTTGATGATACCAAGCATCCCGTCAATTACCCCAATGCCGGGCAACATTCGCGCTTGGAGCACTATTTTGAAGTATTTTATGTGTTCATTTAAATTTCCATGTTACCCCCACTGTGTGGGTGCTGTGTGCCCTGCAAAATAACTCTCGGCGGTCAACATTGCGGCCGATTGGTACCCCTTGCCTAACTCTCACTGCAATTTTTTCTGATTTCTGGTAATCAAAAGCAGTTTTTTGTTACAAAATATATAAAAAAACAAAACCGAATCGGATTAAATAGCCAACAAAATACCATGGCGTGATCCGCGTGGAATTTTTCATTTGACGAACTGGCTTCCGTTTTAAATTGTTACATATTTATTTGAGTAAAAACACATTAGCACGCCGTCAGCATTATCGCAGAGTGCGCTTCTCGTACCAAGCATTGAATGGCCATTTGGCAGACCGTTTGGGCCCTGTGACTTGTAAGCTAGCCTCTGGGTCACAGTGTCTCCCGTCGGGTCCACACATTTTCAGACATTGCACATGGCTTTTAAAGATCGCTGTCCTCCAAGCCATGTGTTTTGTAGTGTATCAGCTACAGATTTTTGCTGATGCGTTGTTGTAGAGTAGTTGTATTTTCGACGTATCTATGTTTAGTGGAGTTATTTGAATTTACTAGTTTTTGATAGCATTACCATTATTATTTATGTACATTTCGCATCATGAAAATATTAATTATTTAGTGGTGAAAAGCGATCACATGTGTAGTTCACTGACTGGTCCCAGGAATCTGAGCTCATTTCCTGGTCACGGCTAACACAAAACTCGCACTGGCCAACTTGTCGAAGTATTGATAAGACAAACCTTCATGGCCAACATGGCTTGAGAAGGCTGCCATTGAGTAGGTTGACGGAAAAACTTTTTAAAAATTCAAGCTTTCGTTGCCCGTTGCATTTTCTTAATATGGTGGTCACCGACACACTCCGGCTCTGTGCCAATTGAACTCAGGCCTGCGCTGCTGAGCACTCAGAAAAATGTTAAAATGTAATCAAATGTCGCCAAGCCAATAGCATGTCAGTGACCACCTAAGAAAAGCAGGTTTAACATAAGTGAGCCAAACTTGTCTTGCGGTCAGAAAGCAGTAAATGTTAACTTAACATTTGTTGCAAAGGATTTATACGCCCCAATTCGGATTCTAACGAACTTTTTGACATTGTCTCAAATCTAAAGATCACGCGAGTACAAACACTTGCTAATATGGCACGTTGAAATGCGTGCCAGTGTGCTCACAAGTCTCTCGCATGCCCAGCCAGAGCGCTAACGTTTCCTCCCTTCATTAAGAAGCATCGCGGCGTGACTCAGCAACCTGACCCGCCTGATGCCCTACTGAAATTGAATGCTAAGCAGGGGGACGGCTTGTCCTTAACTATTTTAAGGTCTTCGTTAAACCACTTGGCAGTCTCCATGGCTCACACCGCAAAACCAGCCCGGCATGGCCTGCAGGGTTGCCGAGTTCACCAATCGACGGGCAAGCCATAATTTAAGAAATGCTGTAAATATTGCCACGCCCGGCACCGAAGTAAACATTAAAAGGACACAAAACAGAAACCAGTGAGTGGGGTGGTGAAAAACAAGGTTCAAAGTTATGACTTTTTAAAACTGCTGTGGGGAATTTTTTTTGTCGGGCTATTTGTGAATTGTGCTTTAATATTGTTGCCATTTTTCTCCTGCCCTGTCCCCCCACCTCGTTTTCTCCACCCTTCTCCACCATTGCCGAACCCCCTCCCCCACCCACCTCAAAACCCCCGTTTTTATTTGTAGCCTACGTGTGCCAAGACCTCATGGAACAGTTTGGCCCTACGGAAAGGGCCCCTCCCATATTGGTCAAGCTGGTGGAGTCGATCGAACGTGGAGGTGAGAGCGGCCCGTTGGTTGTTACGATCGTGGGGATGCGAGAGGGATTTTTAATTGTGTGGGAGAGATCTCGAGGGGGGAAATGGGGGGGGGGGGGTGCCACAACGTTTGAAGCAGCGCAGGGCTTGAGGGAGGGATTTTTTTGTCATGCGGCAGGCGCGTAATGGACACCTGTTAGGTCACGCTGGAGTTTTGTGCCAAACCCCCGTGGCGTGTTGAGTGAAGATTTAAAAGTTGAGTGGGGGGGCGCTCTTGCTCAATTGAATGCACAGTATAAAGGATGTGGTGTGTGTATATAAGGTGCATTGCTACGAGAATAGTGGGCGACCGATGATTCTCCACTGAAGGTGTTGAGCATCCAATGTCATGAAGAAGTTCTAACACGCCTAATAAAGAGGAGCCTAAATGTTGTTTAAAGGTAATGTTGTTGCGATAGCTAATCCGGCTGATTTTTACATGGTTGTTGTTGTTCATTAACTGCATGCTAAATTGAAATGCTCGACTGTTTTATATAAACATCTAATGAAGTTAGTTTAAACACGTAATGATGCATTTATAGTGTCTTAAAACTAAAACCAATAATATTGCAAGTGTATACTTGAACTTGTTCTGCTAGTATGATTTAAAGCGTAATTTTTTTGTACATTTAGACATCCACCAGGCACCGACATTAGAGCTTGGGTTATTTGTGTTGCATACAACAAAGTGCCAAAAGACCGTTTTAAAAGCTACATCCTACAACATTAATTAACATGTTCATTATAAACGATATATTTACATTACAAACCATAAAGCGCTTTGAGATGCGGTCGCATTTAGACGTTGTTTACAAGCAAATCTTCTTATATCGTCCGTGAACAAGTATGCACCTGTCTTTGCCATCGTCACTGACTGTCGCGTGTGTCTGTGTGTCTGTGTGTGCGCGTACGTTTTCGTCTCGCCCCCTCTATCGTTTGTCTCCCGCTTCACTCGTCTGCCCGCGCGTCAATCCCTGATGCACGGTCATCCGCGGTGGGGGGAAAAGGTCTGGACTGTGAGGGGGTCTACCGCCACCCGCTGGGCTCCCAGGGTGGCATGGAGCTCTTGCAATCCCTGCAAACCGGTGAGTGTCTCGCGTGCTCAATCGCCGCCGCCGATGTACTCGTGGAAGTTTGCTTAAGGTGCCGACGTAACGTTCGCTCAAAACTACTTGGCCAATTCTACACTTGCACTTGTGTTTGTTTTGTGTCTTGCCAGACAGCAACAACTTGAAATCTAATTTCGTTTCATTCTGGTGCCTTTTTTTAGCACGTGAAATGTTCGCGAGCACACGTCCATTTTGCGCGAGCGTATACTCTCAGCACTTGACAACGGAGATGCAGAGAATTTGACATGTTAAGCCGAGATGTCGGGAGTGTTCCACAAGATCATAATGTTCTCGAAACAGTATTATTTATAGCTCATTGATTTTGGAGGAAGGGTCATAAGATTATATAATATTGTGTCACATCATCCGTATAAAATGGTGACTGCAAACATGACAACTGCACTCAGGGAAGCGGTGTAACTTGTGTCGGTACAGACTTGCGATGTTCGTATATTATGCAGACCAGTGGCCTAGTGTGCTCTTAGTATGGGCCATGGTGCAAATAATTAAACGGAGCCCCCCTGTCCAATAAAACCCCCTCCAGCCTTTGGGCCCACAGTACAATTGCACTGCCTGCACTCAATAGCTACACCACTAACACAGAAAAAAAACGCTGTACAGAAAACGCTCCGTCAACCATAAAGCAGTGCTCATTGCCTTCAAATCCACCTTTTGAAAAACTGTTTGAGATCCATACTAGCTTGGCATTAACGGTGGTGTCCACTCACGGAAATGAAAACCGTTTTTTAAGTAGCATTTGTACCAATCTGATGGGAATTGCCAAACCAAATGTAATCACTAATGAGATAGTACATACTCAGTGTTTTTGTTAACATTACACTTAAACTAATTCTAGCATGGCCCAAATTCGATGACAATGAGAATCTGATTTCACCTTGGACTCCCAATGGTTGACCTGTCCTTAAACGAGTACCGAGTTCAGTCTGACTCGCATCCGACAGAAGCAGCCGTGTGTGGTGTTAACCAACACTCCAACACATCCCGTTGCGTTCCATGAGATTTGATGGCTGTGACGTACGCTCACATTTATCTTCGCAAAGACACCCACGCACGCGTGCATAATGTATTTGAAATGCGTCTACAACACGAACGGTAAACAAAACAAAAAATCGAAGCTGTTAACTTTGCTGAGCTTCCCATGTAAGCACTCGCACGGCGTGGGTGAGCAGTTGCGTCGTGGTTAGCGCGCTACGCAACGAACCCGGCGACCCGAGTTCGATTCCCGTTCACTGCCAACACCAGTGACGATTACCTGAACCGGTCCAGGGCCCCCCCCCTCCTGGTTGACTCGGCCTCAAATGAGTATCTGGTGCGGTGTGTAAACATCACCACTGGGGAGACAAAGGAAGCCGGGCGTGGTGTTGGTCATCCACCCCCTCGTGTCCCGTGTCGGCCTTCATGGGTGCTCGCTAACAGCACTTTCACCAACAGCCTGTTCAGGCTACACGGGGTGTCTTTGTTTTTTGTGTGAGAGCAAGTGAAGTCTACTCCCACCGCCTACAGGAGTAGAGTATTGCAAGATGTAAACAAAACTGCCTGTGGACACTGGGTTATCGGCTGCGTCTACTGAAGTTCTGGGCGCCGGATTGCTTAAAACATCTCCAGTGTAATTTCTCCGAGCCACTTTTTGATGTATGTATGTATGTTGAACTTCTTTCGTACTTTGCGTAGCCAACTGTGGTCAACACAAATCAGTGTCGAGCGAGGTTTTCACTTCAAGTGTTCTATGCAACTGTGCTTTAGGGGCTGTAGAATAGACGTGCACGTAAAAAGCTGCGTGTGGTCAGTTCCATGGTACAATAATTGAGATGCAGAACGTGCTAATTATTACAATTTCACATCACGATCAACATTTGGTGTCTTTCGATTTAAAGCTTTCGTGACTGCAGGGATTCATCTTCCTGGTTCTTTCGGTAAAGTGACGTAGAATTGAAATAATGAAATAATAAAAATAAAACATTATAAAGCATCGTGAGAACTATTTTATTATATTTAATTTTTATTATTTTATTATTTCCATTCTACGTGACTTTACCGAAAGAACCAAGATTTGGTGTCTTTTTTTAAATCCTTTATATTAAGTTCACTTGCTTGCTTGCGCGCTTACGACCGTGCAAATCTTTCGGTCGTTTTTTAACCCACTTCCCGTGATCCAATCGAGCTGACATTTTGCACACAGACTCGTTGTGCGTGACAATTTATTTTCGTGAAATTTATTTTCCAAAATTTTCCACTTTTTAGGAAAAGAAATTTCATTTAATTTAAAATACGAATGTGATAAAAATGAAACTCTTACTCAAGAAAAGCAGAAATGCATAATAAAATAAAACCGATGCCACGCATATAAAGGATTTATAGTGAAAAACTTTGTTTTTACGGGTTAATTTTTTGGAGTTTCAGCGTGGCGGGGATCGCAAGACCTGTAGTTTTGGGGGAAACTGCGGATTTAGTTCGCCCCCTCTGAGTTCTCCCATCCACGAGGGGGCGACACTGTCGATGTTTCGTGCTCGCGAGAACCTCAGCCCCGGCGTGCGGCCGTGGCACTGCCGCTGTGCAGCCGATGCCACCAGTGGGCAGCACTGGCACACAAAGCCCTTGCCACACGGCGGCGGCGGCGGTGGCATTCATCCTTTTGAATGTGGCTTTGTGCTCTTCCGTCCTGGGGCTTTGTCGCCACTGCCGTGGAAGGTGGTTGCCTCGTGTCGTGTCGCTGCTATGGAGAGAAGAAGTGTGAAATTAAAAAATTCGATTGTGTACTTTTTTTAATTAATCAGCCTCAGATTCACGTGTGCGCGTGCGTCGTTGTGTGCGCGCGTGGGGCGATCGTCACGTGCATCTTTACCCCCCCCCCAACCCATCTTACCCGAGGGGCATTACATTTAAATATGTATTCGACCAAGAAACAATGCAATAACGCAGTAAGTGAGACAAATGCCATCGCAGCGGGAAGTATAAATGTCTTCAAGGAGGATGATGATGAACACGGGGGTCAATTTTTTTCTTTGCTCACTCATTCGTAGACCACTGCTGCCCCCCCCCCATCCCCATCCCATACATGCACCTCGCCAACGCAAGACAATCCCAAGCACGCGGTCTCATCCGTGCTCCTGATTGGTCCACGGAGACTCCGCGCGCGTCCAATCGGGAGAGGCGGCGTGCTCCGCCGCGACCAATCGCGGCGAGGGAAAGGAATTCGTGGTCGCCGTGGCAACTGCAGCTGCCTCTGCCTCGTGGCCTTGAGTGGTGGGGCCCTCTTGAGCAGATGAAGCCACCCACCCACCCACCACCCACCCCACCACTTCTTTCTTTCAGCGAGAGCTGCAACGCTCTAAATAAGTGAATAAGCAAATTATTATTGAATGAAGAAATAAATTAGTAAATAATACAAATGGAGGGCGATACGTGACAGCCCCAGGATGGTGCGGAGTTGTTTTTTTATTTAAATCTACAGTAAAGGATTTCCGTAGGCGGGGGTGGGTGGTTCAAAGCATAAGTTCAAAAGCGAAGGATGGTTCCGTTAGTGTGTCTGTGTGTGTGGTGTGTGACTGTGTCTGTGTGTCTGCGCGTGTGTGCCTGCGTGAGAGCGTGTGTCTGAGTGTGAGTGTGTGTGGCTGTGAGTGTGTGTGGCTGTGAGTGTATGTGTGTGTGTGCGCATGTGTCTGTGTGCCTGTGTGCGTGCGTGTGTGCCTGTGTGCGTGTGTGTACGTGCGTGTGTGTGCCTGTGTGTGTGCGTGGGGAGCGGTGGTGTAGCGGTTAGCGCGCTGCGCTACGAACCTGGCGACCCGAGTTTGATTCCAAAATCAGTGACGATTATCTGGGCCGGTCCTGGGCCTCCCCTAAGTCGACTCGGCCTCAAATGAGTGCCTGGTGCAGTGTGTAAGCATCGCCGCTAGGGAGACAAAGGCGGCCGAGCGTGGTGCTGGCCACCCACCCCCCTCGTATGCCGTGCTGGCCTTCATAGGTGCTCGCTGACAGCACTTGCCCCAACAGTCTGTTAAGGCTATACGGGGGATCTTTGTCTTTGTGCGTTGTTTCTAAATCCGTGTGCTACAGCAAGCCACCGCAAGACAGGACAAACCAAATGCCGCCACAAACGTCACGTGTTTATTGCTCAACATTTTTTGTGGTCAAAATGCTATAATTCACGTGTATTAAAGACCCCTTATTAAATGAGCCTTTGGTTTTTTAAACACATGTTCGTGTAGCATACAGTGCACACGTGGAATATTCGGGTGTAAATTATAGCACGAAAAAGAAGGCCGTGGTGCCGGAATCAAACGGAGCAATGTGGATGTTGTGTTCCTCCTCTGTAGGACGATTGACATTGATTTAAACTAAACTCAACCTGATTTGAAGCTTTCGTGACTGCGGGAATTACTCTTTGGTTCTTTCGGTAAAGTCACGTAGAACGAAAACTAAATAAATATTTATTTTACGCAGAAATAAAATAAATATTTTTTTTAAATATTTATTTCCTTTCTAGTTATTTATTTGCTTTCTACGTGACTTTACTCAAAGAACCAAAGAGTAAACTAAACCTATAAACTATTTTTTTTACCAGGTGAGGCACACTGGGATATACAGCTCTTTTTCAGAAGTGACCTGGCCACAAATGAAAGCTCAACGAATCGAATTTGCTCAATGTGGAAATTTATAGCAGCCAAATATTCTAAAGGTGTGCGTCTTCATGTCGAGGGAAACCCTGGAGGAAGCGGAGAAATATCCACGTGATCAAGGGGAGAGCAAACACGCAAACTCCACACACACAGGCATCAGGGTCGATATCGAACCCACGACCTCCTCCGTACCAGGCGAGGTAGTTAACATCTCACCACCGCGGCACCCCATTTACCACCGAGTCCTGTAGCCTGAGCAGGCGGTGCAGATTTCGATGATGGCAGTCACATTGATGATTATGACGTTAACCTTGGTTTAGAGTTAGAACTCGTGATTAG